CGAGCGAAAGAGAGAGAGAGAAGAGGAGAGAGAGAGAGGAGCAACACATTCTTTCTCTCTCGTGTGTGTGTTCTTTCTCTCTCTTCTCTCTCTCTCCGCCTTCGCGCGCTCTCTGTTCTTTCTTCTTGTTTTATTCTCTTTCTGTTGACGATTTATCATCTTTCAGCTTTCTCATTGTCAATCTGCTGGCTCTCAGTGGGCATCCTTTGTGTCTTCTTCAAATACTTCTCTTAAATTCCCAAGCACTTTTTTTGCTACGCATGTTTCTTTACTTAGCAACAGGTAAGATATACGGATTTGATGTATTTGCTATTGTCAAACTTTTACCTCTGTCTGTGATGCAGTATAACTAAGGGCTAGCCTTAAGCTATCTGTTTAACGCGTATTTGTATCCAGACTGTAACAAAACTCATCGTCAGCGTTGGTGGTCTTTGAGACTAAATGGAATTATATTAATGCATTGCACACATGTCGTATTTAGAATCACTGATATTCATTTCTTATATTATCATACCAAATAAACGCTAATTACTAAAGTTATAACAGCCCAAACCCATAAACCTACTTGCACCCGCCACATCATTCGGTTTGTGTACTGTTTCGCGGATTACTGGCCCGCCAATTACAAGCTGCCTACTATCTTTTATTTTACAGTTTCTTTCTCTCCTAAACGAATCCGGTAATCTTTTATAAGTATGTAGTTAGCGCCTTTCTCTGTGTGTGAGTGTGTGTGTATCTGAACGAAATTGAAAGAGAAAAAGGAGAATTAAAGCAAGGAACAAAGAGAAAAAGAGAGCCAGAAATGTTAAGATTGAAAAAAATTGGGGTCGAGGGGAATAAATATGGAACAGAGTCACGGAGGGTACTGCAGCGGATGAGACGAAATACCTGAGTACGGCAGAATGCTAAGTAAGAGCGAGATAGAGAGGATTGTTACAGCAGAGGGGGTGGGTAAGAGGGGGGGGTAATGAGAGGAAAAGAGAATATAACAGGAAGAGAAGGTGGAGCAGTGATATAACAGATGCAATTATCTAAAAGCAAGCGCGTATGGTACAGTTCCAGATTCTACATAAAAATACGTAGCGTCCAAAGGGAAGAGGGAGATCAAATGGACGGGGAGGTGGCCGCACGGAAGATTGCTGGATCCAGTCAGCATAAATGAAGGATGTCAAGCGGGAGGAGAAGAGCGGTGATGCGAATAATTGCTGAATTATGTACGGGGAATATGTAAAACGAGACGGGGAGACACCCACCGAGTCCAGTCGGACAGCGGGACTCGATAAAGCTGTCTGAATCACTGCTCGGCTCGTTAAAACCTACGACAGCGGCGGCGTTTGCGTCGACGCAGCAGCGATTGTTCAGTAATTACTCCCGGGGAGGGATTCTCTCA